GTCATATGCATGGGTGTCATGTCCTCATCAGACTTAGCACAGGCAATATACTGAAAAAGAAAAAATTTCAGTTGGCATTTTTCAATTGTGTTCTCTGCGCTATCTTGAAGAGACAGTCGAGCACCTGTTCCTTCACTGTGAGTTAGCTAAAGCCTGCTAGGGACTGATCGGCGTGGTAGTAAACTGTTGCCTCAATCCTTTCCAGATTTTTGAGGATTTCAGAAGGCAGCTAAATGTTCCTTTCTTCATGGAAATTATTATCATTATGTGTTGAAGCATCTACACAATCAGAAACGACATCATTTTCAGAGTGATCCCTGCAAGCAGTTCGCGATGTTCAGAGATCTTCAGGGTCACCTTTCGCCAGCTCCTCTGGAGAGCCAAGAAGAAATATTTCCCTTCTGTTGACTTATGGTTAGTGCAATTTGTGGGAAAAGTCTATATAACCCCCTAACGTTTGGTACGGTGTCTACTTCACCCCCTGAACTACTAAACTCGGTCACTGGCGCCACGTTGTACACCTTGGTCACCAGCGCCACGTCCCATGCCACGGCGAGCTCAAAGCCTCTACCCGCTCCCTGCGTGTCCGCGATGCTTTGCATGTACACCTCGAGGTAGTGCCAAGTCTCTGTTCCCGCTCGGGTCTCTAGGTAGGGCGACTTCCCCATGTCGGTCGCTATCGCAAGTTGCACGCCGACGTCGCGGGCGTTGCGGACGTGAAGGAGCCACAACTCGAGGATACATCGAACCACTTCTTGAAGCCCTTGCTGCCGACGCACGGGCTAGCTAACGCGAACGCGGTCACTGGCGCCACGTTGTAGCTGCTGGCAGCGATGTTGAACGTGTTCAGCGTGGCGAGCGCTGCGCTGGCTGTGGCCCATCGCAGTGATGCTGAGCTCCTCGTCGTTGTATGTGTCCACCAGCCTCCGCACCTCGCTCAACACCTGAGGCCTTGCACTCTCCTGCTTGTGGCTGTACGTGGGTGCACTCTCTTGCCGACGATGTGGCATACAGTAACCTGGTGACCCCGAGCCGAAGCCGCCGTGCTGGGACATGGTGGGCACGCACAGCTCTGCTGTAGTGCCATACGCTCGCTTCCTTTCTTCTGATGATCAGCTTGCTCAGCGCGGTTTATCTATATACGGAGAACACCGCTCGCAGTCTGTCATGGACACCGGGCTGCACTATGCTGTCGGCTACAGCCAAGTTCCCAAACCACAGCACGGCGCTGCGGCCACTTGTGTCGTGTCGTGCTCGACGAGGCACCGGGCCTGGACGCCGCCGCCATGGTCGCCCGCCATCTCAAGGAGCGCGCCCTACCGCACACGGAGGCTCTCTTCCGTGTGGCGCCCATGGCTGCTCATGTGCTCTATCTGGACACCGTCAAGCTCGGCAAGAAGTCAAGGCTAGGCGTGTCAACCGTGCGCGAGCTATTAGATGAAATGCCAGGGAAGAATACAGAGGTGCTGAGAGGTCTGACACCTGGTCCAGGGTGCCAAGTTGTCAATGTGTAACGGCATGGACAGCAAGTCAGCAAAACCTAGGTCCAAAACCACCTCAAGGGGTTAAATAGACTGTTTGAAGATGTTTAAGGGGTAGAATACATGGTTTTATAGTTCATGGGGTGAAGTAGACATCATGCCAAACGTTGGGGGTTATATAGACTTTTTTCAATTTGTGTAATAGACTTGATTTTCTTTATTTCCTTTTTTGTTTCCTAAGCTCATCCCCCCTCTCCTCCCTGTCTGTTTTTCTCTACTTCTATTTTTCTTGTAACCCTCTTTGTTGCTTCTACTTAACCCCTCCTGTTTCCTAAAAAAAGGTTAAAATTAGATAATCAATCAGTAATTACGTAGAGAAAACTTTTAAATAGATTTATTATTACTTGTTCTTTGTCGATATGGATAAATGTCTGATGTTCTATATTTTTGTCGAATATAGATATGAAATCGGATAGAGAAAAATACTAAAAAACAAATTTGGATACATCTATTTAACATCCATATTAGAAACAGATACGAATACCGATATCCAATTAAATGTTTTAACGGATACATATTTGGACAATTTGGAGACATCCATTTGCATCCTTACTACTAACCACTCCCGTTACATGTATACAGAGCATTTCGCATGTACTCCTACGAGTGATTTGACATCTCTCTAGAATAGGCATGTCAACAAAGATTCAGGCCCTATTTAGGTGTTGTAGTATTCTGGTTTTCAAAACCATAAAACTTATTGCATCCAAACATTACATGGCACTCAAAATTAAAATCAAACTAAAGTATTTTAGAAAACCATGGTTTTTTTTAAAAAAAAAATCTAAAAAATAATTTGCATTCAAACAGAGCCTTAGTAATTTTTATCTTCTTGTATATAGTCTTGTAGTAATCAAGACTTCACTTATACACGGAATCGTATCGGATCACTGTTACCTAACTCACAGTCTCAAACACAGTGGCCACCAGAGACTAACAAGGCGATGACGAGGGCTGGTGGCGAATTTTGTGTTTTTTTTCCTCAGGTAATGTAGGGCTGATCTTATTTCTTACTCAAATCAATCAAAGTGATTCGAATTATCCAAAGAAGAAAACACTGAAGCACAGTTGAATACATAGTCCTGAAGCAACCCTAGTATATGCATGGAACTGGCCAAGCAACCCGATCCTCTTCTGTAAGCTTCACAAAATGTTCAACTCAAGTGTTCAGCATGTTAAGCTGTTGCAGTTTATAGCAATTGTTCAGCAGGGTAAGCAGTTGCAGCTTATAGCTGCTGAAAGTCTGCCTTCTACAACCGCTGTTCGTGTCATGAGTCAACATCAGCGGTTCAGTGTAGCTGTGTGAGCATTCCTCCATTCTGCTAGTATTGATCTCTTCTTCCCCCATTGGTTGGTTGCACCAGCAAAATGTTTCTATGTCCTTGGAGATGCATGCAGGGTATTCTAAGTATTTGGTTGGGCTTCCCTCTGGGCAGTCTTCATCAGCTTTCGTAATTCTACAACTAGCAAGAATGCAATGCTTAACTATCTCATAGACTCCCTCTGCAATGGCAACAGAAGATGCCTCAATTTCTTTCTTGCAGTTCCTCCAAGCCTCTTTAATGATAGGAAGAAGCATGTCGCACCAGCATCCTCCAGATTCCTCTGAAAGCTTTGAGCTATAATCCTTGTGTGAATCCTTTAGTCGTCTTAGATGAAAAGCAGTGAATTCTTCCTCTCCATGGGGCAGCAGTTGCCGGAAAAGCCAGCCACCAACCAAGCGAACATCTGCAGAAACCTTTGATCTGCAGAAAAGGTCGACCAAAGCATCGAGCACCTGATATCTGTGAGCTTTGGAAGTCATCTGCCGTGGATGGTGACACTGTAGCCCATATTTGACCTGAAGCTTCCTTACATAAATATCAAAATCACTACGAATGCTGTCATCAGTTAGACCGCTACTTGACGAAAATAATTGTCCTTCAGCAAGGTCTTCACCTACTAAAGCTTGTAACAGAAGCTTCTTATGCTGCTTTCTTTGAGGGAGGATTCCAAGCGCATCCAGCATTGATTCATCAAGTTCTTTCGTCTGCAGTAATGTAGCAAATAAGCACAATGAACCCAAAGCTAGTGAATCATCTCCTTGTGTGATATAGGACAGCAAGTGTTCCCATGGTGTATTGCCATGGCAGCAATCACTTGGCGGTGAATGATTGGGCAAGTATTTGCTACTAACAGAAGACAGAGAATTTGGCTCATCCTCATTTGATTGCTCGACAGCAGAGGCAGTGGTGCAATGATTCTCAGATCTGCAATTATCATGCTCAGATGTATACCCATTAGGAGGTGTCCCTTGCTTTGTTTCATCAGGGCAATCAGGTTGATGAAAAAGGGCAGCAGCGACAGTACTTGCCATATCCTTATTCTTCAAAATGTGCAGTATACAACAAAGCAGAAACATGGATGTAGTGACACTTAGGTCCAAATCTGCGCTCTGCCTCTTCAACGACGGGAGTAATAACCGAAACACCAGAGCTTGCAAGATATTGTCAGTGATGAACCTTTCAAGATCAGGAATACCAGAAGATATAACATCACTGAAATAATACAGCATGTCTTCAATCTGCACAATCGCATCTTCAACACAAGACATTGGCAAAGAATCTGCAGTTCCTGAGGAGCGTGCAACCAACTTATCCATGTCAACGCACTGCTCCTGAAAATGCTGGACCATGTCTGAAAAATAGTCTGACAGAGGCACACGGAAACGAATCTGTTAACAGATTCATCTCCAAAGTGGTAGACATTGAGTGTCAAGGTACGTATAGCAACTCGGATCATGCTGCCCTGGTGAAAAGCAAACTTCAAGGCCTCGACATAGAGAGGAAAGGAAGTGACCTCATCGTCTTCCGTCTTTGCCAGCAAAGAAATTGTACTCTTGTTCAGCTTCCCACTTATCGCCCGCAGAAAAGATATGTAGTAGGATAACATCTCATCGATCCGAAAATCGAATGGGTACGTGATGAAGAAGTTGATGTGCTCACTGCTAAGGATGTAATGAATTGAATGTTCATCTCTCAGATTTTGGATCATGATGCCCATTGTCTGCAGCAACTGGAGTGACACTTTTGACAAATTAGAGATCCTTAGGATACGAGAAAATGGAAATTTTGCCTTTACAGGGAGTGGGCTTCGCTAGAATGTCCTTAAGTTTGTGGGCTTCGTTAGAATGCTCATATAAAAGGTGTGTTTCACGCTATTTTGCTATTTCGTGTTTTTTCCAACTTTGTAAATTTCTGACCCCATCTTTTTAAGCAGACGTGATCGTTTTATCCCTGTCTCCCTCTACCTTTTATCCTCTTGCTCTGCTTCTCACGGTCACGGCCTTTCTCTCCCGTTCTCTCTCCGTCTCGACTACTTGGAGAACGGGAGACTACGCCGCCACCACCGGTCGTGCTCCCCTGTCCCGACCTCACGGGGCTCATCGAGCGGCTGTCCCCGCCGCCGCTGCGCGAGCGGATGCTGCACTTCTCGGTGGAATCCCTGGAGGCGCTCAAGGATCGGGCGCGGCGGGAGCTCCTGGCGGCCGGTGACGCGGCTGGCGCGGCCGCCGTAACCAAGTTCCAGGCGCTGAGCTCCCTGGTATGGCACTGCTTCACCCGCGCGCGGCGCAAGGCGCCGGACCAGTCCACCGTATGCCGCGCCGCCATCAACAACCGCACGCACCTCCGCCCGCAGCTGCCAACCAAGTACTTTGGCAACACCATCTACGCCATCTCCACAAAGGCGGTGACCGCGGGGGATCTGCTGGCGCGCGGCCACGGGTGGGCGATGGCGGCCGTGGGGCGAGCGGTGGCGGCGCACACGGATGCCGACATCTGGGCGCGCGTGGCGGCGTGGATGGCCAAGCCCGTCGTGTACACGCTCAGGTACTTCGACCCCAACGGTGTCATGATGGGCAGCTCGCCGAGGTTCGAAATGTACGGCTGCGACTTCGGCTGGGGACGCCGCTGGCGCCGCGCAGCAGCGGCAGGGGCCAACAAGTTCGACGGGAAGGCGTCGCTGTACCCAGGGCGGGAGGGCGGCGGCAGCATCGACGCGGAGGTGGTGCTGACGCCGGAGCACATGGCGCTGCTGGAGCAGGACGACGAGTTCTGGGCGGCCGTCTCGCCGGACAAACCTTGCCCGCCGGCGGTGGGGAAGAATTGACTGCCCATGGCCGATCAATGTCAGACAGAGCAAAAGGAGTCGATTTGCCTTTGACAGACAGACACTTGTTCTGTTCTTTCCAGTTTTTGCGTTTGGTTAATGATTAGTCCTCTGATAAACGAATCGAAATAAATATGAGAGGGTATTCTTTCCAGCGATGTGTTGTTTTCATGTTTGTCGAGACGGAGAGAGAACGGCAGTGAAAGGTGAAATTGCCATGACCGTGAGAAGCAGAGGATAAGCACAAGGAGACAGGGGTAAAATGGTCGTGGTAAAAAAGATGAGGTCAAAAATTTACAAAGTTAGAAAAAACACGAAATGGTAAAATAACGTGAAACACATATTTCATAGGGACATTCTGACGAAGCCTACGAAAAGTCATTCTAACGAAGCCCATGTCACGAGCAAAATTCTCATTTTCTCTTAGGATACGAGCGAATTCTCCCATGATCTGTTTCTCCATAAAGTATTCAAACAACGATGGACCATGCTGGTCGCCGTATATCATAAGCTCCGCAATCGATCTCAGTGCTTCAATCACAAAATCCTCATTAGCTTCGTTGACGACATGAACCTTTTGCAGCTGATCTGTTCGATACTGGAGCTCCTCGAGCGAGAAGCGGTTCCTAGTCGCCCGTAAAAGCCACATGTTGGTGGATCCGGATCCGCTCCGCCCCGAGGCGATGGCGCAAGCGCGGGGAGCGAACTCGGACCTTATCGGCGCGGGCGCGGGGTGCGAGCTCGGACTCGTAGCCACAGGAGCCGGGGCGCATGACGGAGGGACCCTCACGAACGTGCGCGGGCCACCACGCTACCGCCGCCGGAGGGGGAGCGCGTCGCATCCGCGGCGGCGGCGATCGCCGGCTGCCGATCGCGCGTGGATCGCGGGTCGTGGGGCTCGCTTTTGCCTTTCGACTCTCTTTTCTTTTCTGTTTTTTCTCTCTCTCGCCATTGGGTTCCGCTTATCCTTTTCGGCCCGGTTTGCTTCGTTGGCGAACTTTCTTTTCCGCAATTGGTGGGCCATGGGGGCAAAGCAATGAACGGTAGCCAAAGAAACGAACGGCCAGAATCGGTTCCGAAATGATATGGCCAGAGCGTCCGAGCGGACGGACTAACCGTTCCGAAATGAGTGTGCCGTCGTCGCGCCAGCCCGCCTCCTCTTCATCGTCCGTGCGCTACACCCCACTCTCTGCACCTTTGTCCCTACCCGTCCTCTGCGTCGTTGCGCCTAGCCCACCCTGCCCTCTACACGCCGTCACCAAGCTCCGTGTGGCTCGTGTGCTGTCGCCTTTTGCGCGCCGCGCGAGATCTGTGCCACCGACGAGCTCCACGCCACCAAGATCTGGCGATCTGAGTTGCCGGCAAGCTCCATGGCACCGAGATCCGCGGCACCAGCGAGCTCCACACACCGACATCGAGCTATGCCTGTCGATGCGCGCCTCCGTTCGCCCAAGCAGAAGGAGATGTTGCTCTGAAAAGCGTATATCGCAAGCCTATATTTTGAATGGTTCAGGTGTTTCGAGCGCATGTTGCAGGTGCTTCAGGCGCATGTTGCAAGTGTTGTGTTGCAAGGAAATGTTTGCTTTGAAAGCCTATGTTGCAATCCTATGTTTCAACTGTTTCAAGTGTTTTGAGAGCATGTTGTGGGTGTTTCAGGCACATGTTGCAATAACGATATTATACATGCTTCAACAATAATCTAGGCATGTTTCAGTAGTACATCACTGATGTTGCAGCAACATTATCGTACATGTTTCAATAGTAATCTGGGCATGTTTCATTAGTACATCGCCGATGTGCAGCGTGGACCCCAAGGGCGTCCGTGCGGAAGCCAACATCCTCTGCGCGTCGCCGTCGCCGCCCCAACCGTCCTCTGCGTTGTCACTACTGCGCCCACCCTGCCCTCTACGCACAGTTGCCGCCCTCCCCCTCCCATTCTTTACGCCGTCGTCGTGTCCCATCCTACCCTCTGCGCATCATCGCCCAGCTCCGTCGGCGGTGCCTTCTAAGTATTCAGAGCTCCGTGTCGCCAAGAGCTCCACTTTGCCATCGATATCCACACGCCAAACGCACATGCTCTTGTCATCTGCGCACTGCTGCCATGCCCCATCCATCCTTTGTGTCGTCGCTGACCCCAAATGGAAACAGAGCAGCCGCGGGGGTGTCCAAACGCGGGCGTCTGTCCAAACGTTCGGGCGCTAGTCGTTCCAAAAACAATTAGGTGGTTTGTATTCGTCAAGTATTCGGTGTTGCATGATTTGAAACCGCCACCGACTCTGATCACCGAACACACAGAAAATCTTAAACCGACACTGACATCAAACACTGAAGAAATCGGTACTTCGGTTCAATTCGGCTTAATTCAGTATGGTTCGGTTCGGTTCGGTTCGGTCTTCTAGAAAAAATGCCCACTCCTAACTTCTACATAGCAAACCAAAGATCTCTAAATTCCTACCTCTAAACTCCTGCTCCATCCTTGCGCCAACCAAATGTGCTCTAATATAAACTAGAACATTAGGCACCCTTCGGGCGCCCTATAATGATTTGAAAACAGAAGCAACTATCCTCGCTAGATAGGCATGGTTTTAAATTAAATATATATCAACACTAAGATCCAACCACAAACATTGGTTTTCATAGTCATTGACATCGTCACCTCGTCACCGGCACCTAAGATTAGATGTATTACACCAATAAGTACGTAGCACGAAACAACCAATCACATATCCCATGTCCTAATAGGGAGCAAACGGCCCTTACAGTTCATGGCCATTCAGTACATGTAGGGATGAAAACGGATCAGATACGAACGGATATCACTAATATTACATTTGTTTTCATATTTCTGTCCGGATTCGGATTCGAATACGGATAGTGTCAACCATATCGGATAGGATACGATTGGGTATCGACATCATAAATATGCGATTTGAGTATTCGGATACGGATACGGTATCGGATGTTGAATATCCGGACTCGGATACGAACAGATCTGAACCCCTTTAAACGGATTCGGTCTCGAATACGGTCGGAAAATATCCGTACCATTTTCATCCCTAAGTACATGCATGATCACCGCGGCCCTTACAGTTCTATTGAACCACACGTTAAATAGCTATTCATTATAGTTGACAATTGCAATTCATGACTACAGAACATCTTAGTCAAATTATGATCCAGATGTGCACATAATGATAGATTATTACAGGATCAACTAGCCATATATCTAGCATGTGTACTTACATTTAGAATAAATAGTGAGTCCTAGGACATGTATTGGTACGGGATTAACAGATAGAGTGAGAGAGAGAGAGATTGAGGAGGTGCAAACCATCGGCCATCTTCATAGAAGACGAGCTGGCCAAGGGGTTGCTTGACGGTGGCACGGTGAAGCCCGGCGGTAAAGGTGCTGTCGCGGTGGGGGCGGTGGCCGGTGGCGGAGCTTTTCCGTCGCTGGCAACACCCCTCTCTAGATCGACTAGGGTTTAGGGACTGTAGGTGGGGCGTCTGGCGGCTCAGGTGAACCTCGTACCTTGTGCCCTAGCCCCCATCTCCCTTTTTATGGCGTTGTGCAACGGGGGCCCACTAACCATGGAACGGTTGGGCGCCCCCGATCAGGGCACAGATCCAAGGGTCCAATTAGTCGTTGGTGGAGATCATCTAACATTCTCCCCCTTGATCTCACCTTATGACTTAAACTCAACTTACTTACTTTATCTTGTTTCCATTCCATCACAGATCAGTGCATAGAGCGTGCCTCATCGTCACGGTCAGTTGCCGATTAAACAGCTACCATGCACCTCTCTGTTTTGAAACAGATTCTCAACTTGGCCCTTATTGTCCAGAAATCATAGGCCTTCCCTTAAACCCATGCCGGCTAAGTGTTCTCTGAACACACTGGGTGGTAAGCCTTTTGTAGGTGGATCCACGAGCATCTTTTCTGTTCTTATATGCTCAAGACTAATTATATGATCCTGGACTTTGTCTTTCACAACATAATACTTTATGTCAATGTGTTTGGCAGCACCACTTGACTTATTGTTGTGAGCATAATATACTGCTGGATTATTATCGCAGTATAACTTGAGTGGTTTATGTATGTCATCTACCACTTTCAACCCGGGCATGAATTTCTTCAGCCAATTCACCTGCCCTGTGGCCTCATAACATGCTACAAACTAGGCATACATTATGGACGATGTAGTGATGGTTTGTTTTGAGCTTTTTTACTATATAGCTCCTCCTGTGAGAGTGAATATGCATCCTGACGTGAATTTTCTATCATCTCCCGCATAATCAGAATCTGTATACCCCTCTATGTGCAAGGAATCAGATCTTCTATACATTAGCATGAGACCCTTCTGAAAGCTCTAGTTTAGTTTTGGTGAATTGATAAAACCCTAAGTGCTAACCTAGTTTATCAAAGTGGTTATGAGATAGGTAGCACTACTCCAAGTGATGAAGTAAATGAGAGTGTGATCATATTTAGGATCGATAGCCGTACTATTGAGAGGGGTGAAACTTGTATCGAAACGCGGTTATCAAAGTGTCACTAGATGCTCTAACTCATTGCATATGCATTTAGAATCTAGTGGAAAGCTAACACCCTTGAAAATGTTTGTGAAAATATGCTAACACACGTGCACAAGGTGATACACTAGGTGGTTAGCACATTTGAGCAAGGGTGGAGAAGTTGGTGAAATCAAGGAGGAGATTGTCACTGAGAAACAGTGACCGGACGCTGGTCACGTGGTGACCGAACTCAAGAGAGCAGCGTCCAGTCAGTAGTGTATTAGTAGCGCGGTCTCGGTTTTATTGATCGGACTCTGCCTTAGGCAATGACCAGACTCTAACCCCGCGTCTAGTCAGTAGGCGCGCGGTGAAGGCCGCCCTTGGTCCCTTGATCGGACACTGAAGAGAAAAAAGAACCAGACGCGCAGTGGGTGCGTCCAGTCACCTAGTGACGTACTCTGACACAAGTAACAAAGACAGACTATGTT